TCTAATAAATCTCGGTTTAACATCGTTAGCTATGAAATATCCCTTGGTTTGGGCAAATAGTCAAGTTTCCTTAAGTGGCAACTCTGTTCTCTGTCTCAGACATAGAGTAGCCGGTAGAAACAAGCTTGGTAGGTTTGAGTAGAAGACAGCTTGGCCAAAGATGAGCTACATATAAAGGATATTGAGGATCGAATTTTGGTTTCAATATTGGAGTTCATATTTATTCAAGTAAGATTACCTGTAACCAAGAATTGCTACATTCAGGATAAGCATCTTCCCTTCTCAAAACATCATGCAACCTGGTCGTCTTGGCATGGTTGCCCAATACCTACTGCGGCTGGATTAACCCCCAGGGTCCTGATATGCCAGGAAACGGTTCCATGCATTCCTTAGTGTAGGTGACTGGTTTTGCATTAAAATACTTGCTTTTAGAACCATCTTCTAATATTTTATACCATGAGACCTGATTTTCTATAGTCTTATTTGAATCCATAATTATAAAATTAACTTTCTATACCCCAAGCCTCCTGACTTACGAAGGCTGTCTTAGTATCCCTATCCTAGAAGTTAAAATTCCCTGAGGATATTTTCCCATTGATTTTTAGAGAATGGGAGGGAGGGAGACAGAAAAACATCGATATGAGAGTTATCTGCCTCCTGCACACTCCCTACTGGGAGCAAAGTCTGATATCTGGGCATATGCCCTGACTAGGAATCAAACCAGTGACCTCTTAGTTCCTGGGTCTGTGCTCAACCACTGAGCCACACCTGGCTGAGCTAAGGATATTTTCAAACAGAAATTTGACTTCCAATTTAGAAATGGATTGTCATTCTTTAATTTTTTTAGGCTCTGAAGACCGCTGATAAGCAAATTTTGGAGCCCTTGATGAACCTGGAGGTCACGGTGACTAGAGCGCACCTCAGCGCTGTCCTGGCAGATCTGGCACAGAGAAGAGGGAGTGTCCAGGAGATCCAGACTCGTCAGGACAACAGAGTTGTGGTTGGGTTTGTTCCCTTAGCAGAGACCATGGTAGGCACCTTGTCACTAAAAAGTGTAATTTTAATACAGGGACAGATAGGCTGAGCACGGACAGTCAGTGACACCTGGAAGCAGCAGCAGGGCTTTGAGGTAGAGGCTGCATTCCCGTTTCGCCATCAGGAACGTTAGGGGGTTCAAGCAGCATGGGGGTCCCTTCGTCCTCCACGGAGGTAGAGGTGTGTTGAACCAAGATGTGGCACCAGCCTACCATTTTTCCCTTCCAAGCTCTAGACCGTTTCTTAAATCGCCAGTGTTCAGGCAAGTGTCATTCTCCCCACCAGCCTCCCTGCTCCAGAACAAGCACCCGAGTGCTGGCCGGGACCAGGGGCTGCACCTGGAGCATACCAGTGTGCTCAGTCCTCCACAGGTTTCAGATTGTTCCTGAGAAAAATGGCTCAGTGACCATTTAAGTTACTTAACTTTTCTGCTAATGGTCAAAAGATAAGCGGCAGGAAGAGAAACTTGAGGCTTAATTTGGAAGAGAACTGATTTAAATGTTTTTGATTAGGGTTATTCAACTGTGCTTCGAACGCTAACATCAGGCTCAGCTACGTTTACCTTAGAACTCTCTAATTACCAAGCCATGAACCCTCAAGACCAAAGTACGCTGCTCAATCGAAGAAGTGGTTTGAACTAAATGCTTCAAGGTCCTTGGAAAGAAATTCAGGAGCACCTACCTATTTGTTTTTAGTAAGAATAACTTTTATTGCTTTATTTATTGGGCAAAAAATTACTGTTTCAGTACATTCTTTAAGTGGCTGAAAAATGTCACTTAAAACTGACAGTGGCATTGTAGCTGCTATTCTACTTTATGTCATGAGAAATGTGCTTTGACGTTGAGAGTTAATGTTCCTGAACTATGTGAGTGTACACAAGGTTATTACTGTCGGTAAAGACACAGCTTTTTGGAATGTATTGAGGAATATCACCAAGTTACATTTTTATAAGCTTCTTTCACAAAGATGCCAGTCTTGTATATGTAAAGATAGAAGTTCAATCAATACAAAGATATTTTATTTATACACAATGTACCAAATCTTAATTTTACATTATTTCAAAACCAAGTTGATTGTAGTAAACTGCTCTGGGCCTTTTCCCCTCCTCATTTTCAAATCATTTCAACACATTGTCACAATATCCAGTAAAAAGAGGTTCTGCAGCTATTCCGCGTCTGTAGAATAGAGTATAAATAAAATGTTTTAGATATAACTCATTTCCATCTTAAAAACTTAGTAGCTTAAATCAGAATCACCAACCACAGCATTCATTATTTTTAAAAGATAAGATGGAGGTCCAAATATATCTTCTTATAGGTATTCCCAATTTTTCCTAATTAAGTTACTACTTCTTAGATGTTATACATTTCTACTTAAAGCAAAAATACCCAAGAAGCAAACTAACAGTATATAAGGTTAAAACAGACTTACCGGACCATTCTGCAGCGGTGAGCTGTTAGTCTTTTGTAGGCATCATCTAAACTTCTGACCTCTTTCCCACTCCAGAGTCTCTCACCAATAGCACTTGCCCGAGGCCTAAAATGTAAACCAGATGTCTTCCAAAGCATTTTAACCCTTTGCACTCCGCTGTCCCCTCCCAGGGGACATTGCAGTTTACTAGTGATTATGGGGAATTGAGTTAATTGAACGCATGTTTCGCAAAGTAGCGTCGAGTAGCTGGTAGCCAATGTCCAGAATGGTTTGGAGTGCAAAGGGTTAAGTTCGTGCTTTCTTAAAGAAGTGAGTATCTAAGTTATAAGTGTGGGGGCATTCCTAATGCTTTCCAACTTGGATGGAGAAGGAAAACTAAGGCACCTTAATTCAAATGTTACCACTTAAATTCCATACCATAATCTCGGAGAGAGGTTAGTTGAATCCACATATTCTCCCCACAGACAAGCTTCTCCACCAAGGACAAGTTTTTTCTGTTCCTGGGTACCTACATTAAAATCATTGGGTTGATAAATTAAGTAACTGCAGCTTAAGGCAGACAAACAGAAGGTAGGTCAGTATTGCCTGAATCTTCATCCCGGGCCTACATTTTTCTCCTGTAGGCAACAGAATCTTGGGAGATGTTCATGGTGGTGGCACCAGAAAGGGTGCAAACTTCATTCCTGCCCCCGCCCCTGTGGTTCACACAGTGCTTTTTAGCATGTGTCAACTATGTGGTGGGCCAGTATTAAAGACACCATTTTATATTGGTTTTCTGCAATATAAAATGTTTGGTCACCAGAAACATTTTTCCCCCTGGTTGCCTGTGAATAGTGTACCAGGGAACACAAGTTGGAATAATAGTGACCACTACTCCTGTCTTTGATATCTGTCTCTTGGTGGTAAAAAAGAGACCAGCTACCTAATTTCAATCAGGGCACATACCTACTGTGGGGATTTGATCCTCAGTCAAGGTGTGTACGGGAGGCAAATGATTGCTGTTTCTCTCTCTTCCTTCCCCTCTCTCTAAAATAAACACTAATAACTTATCCTCAGGTGAGGACTTAAAAAATGCAGGTAGAGAGTAACAAGACTCATCCGTGAAAATGAAGATAAAAATCTAAGGGAATCCACTTTTGAAGTTCTTTTATTTAGGTAAGGATTTGGTTTATTTCACATTTCAGATAATACTGAGACCTTCCTTTTTAAGTAAACACAAAACCAAGAATCAAACATAAAAGGGAGCAAAGTGAGTAGGTAATATCTAGGTAAGGATTTCCTGGAGGGAGGGGAGTGAAGGAAATCGGGGTAATGATGTTGCTTCACTTACCACTAAAATCAAGAGGTTCCACTGCATAGTATATTCTCCAGTCTTGTCCATAACTGATCCTGTCCAAGTACCACGGAGCAGAGAGGATCACAGGGAAGCCAGCTGCTGTGACTGCACTCAGGTCATTAGTATACATTTCCTCTTTCCATACTTGAACTACAGTGCCTTGCTGAAGCTATTAAAGTTAAAAATTGCAATATATATTATTAGGTCTAGCAAATACAGTAGGTGATATTTAAAGTCCAAGACTTGTAACTAGAAATCTTTAAGATCCTTGAAAAAACCCTTTGCACTCCACTGTCCCCTCTCAGGGGACATTGGAATTCTAGCATATCACTTGGATGTCCTCTCTCAGGGGACATTGCAGTTTATTAGTGATTATGGGGAATTGAGTTGATTCAACGCACGTTTCGCAAAGTAGCGTGGAGTAGCTGGTAGCCAATGTCCAGAATGGTTCGGAGTGCAAAGGGTTAAACATTGTCATCTTTACCCTTCCTCTTACATTAGTGCCAAATGCTATTTCTTATAGAGACTTAAATTTAGAAGTTGCATTAACCGTTAGGTTGGATACTTAACTTTTGCGTATTTATGATACCTTACAGGTGTAATGAACCAAGGATTTAGTCCATCCTACCACACTATTGCTTTTCCTTACTTTCAAATTGTGAGGATGCCAATGACCCTTCTGGAATACTAATTTCTGGAGTTGCAAATTCTCAGTTGCCCCAAAGGAAAATAATTTTGGCTAAGAATTAGATGCCATGTAAAAAAAGTGTACATTGGCAATTTTACCTAAAACTACCTTAATAGCAGTAAAGACTCATTTGTTCTTATCTGTTTGTTCTGCCCTTTCCTGAAGGAAAAAAAAACACAACCTTACTTCAAAGTACTCCCATTTGTGATTAATGAGATGGCAGGGGATGAGGGGATGAGAGGAAAAATGAGGCAGGAAAGTGAAGTAAATGGAAGAAAAGAAACATTAACACCATTAATATTGGCCTCAGTGCACAGCTACTGTCTAATAAAAGTTTAAATGGAACAGGAAGCTGGTTTCCCCATATAATTGGGGAATGGAGATATCAGAACATGAAGCCTGTCATAGTATCAGAATCAAATGTAGTTTTCATACTTCTCACCTTTACATGATTATCAAAAACCTCTTGCCAGACTATGGATCCCTTCTTTAGAGTTGAAATAATATTCAAAAGCCTACCATTGGGGGGGAAAAAAGTCATTTCAGATCACAAGCTTAACAGTATGTTTAAAGCATGCATATTTTCTACCAAGGACGGCAATAGTGAGATACTTTTCAATATAGCACAGCTTGATAACAGAACCTGTTAAATTTGGTGGTAAGCCATGTGTCTACTCCTTCCTAGAACATGGCTCAGAAGCTGGCACAGCGGAGGGGTTTAACAGTCACTTGCTGATGAATGAGCTAACATGTGCCCAAAAGAGGAAGACAGGGCAGCTAACAGAAAATATACAAATAACACTTAACAGTTGCTGACAATCAGCCCATAAGTATTTCCTGATATTTAGACCATGTCATGTACTCTGCAGGATAAAAAATTTAGTTTCCTGATATTTAGACCATGTCATGTACTCTGCAGGATAAAAAATTTAGAATGTATCATATACAAAGCGAAATAGGAAAAGACTAGAATCCGGGATTGCCCAGTGCAAGCAAACTACAGCCTGTTTTTGTGTGGCTCATGAGCCAAGAATGGTTTTTACATTTGTAAAGTATTAAAAAAAAGAAGAATAAAGTGTAACTAGATGTGGCCTACAAAGTCTAAAATATTTACTTTCTGGCCTTTACAAAAGAAAGTGTCCTGGTCCCTGGAATGGGACAGCACTGCCCAGCAGACTCTGCAGCGGCGGAAGAGTTCTTGTATGTGCACCTTCCAACACAGAGCCACTCCCAAACTCATCCAGCTAGCGGACATTTGAAATGGGACTAAGGAACTGAATTTTTAATGTTCTTTAACTTACATGCAAATAGCCACATGTGGCCATGGCTACCACACTGGACAGGTATAAAGTAAAAAAATGCTTCTGGAAATGAATGAAGGGGCTGGATGGTGGTGAGGACTTCCTAGGGTAGCCAAGGGCTTTCAGTTGAGTGCTTAGAACACATGACTGCTGTCCTATAGTTACTGCAAACGGCTTAGAGTTACCATGTTCACTGATCTGAAGAAAGCCGTGGATAATGCTTCTTTATGTTTTTTCATGCAAAGTATACAACATGTACACTTCAGCAAGGGGTGGAGAGAAAATGAAACAGTACTATGAATAGCTAAAACTTTTACAAAAGGCATTTATGGAATTAAGTAGGCTTTCAAGTAACTTACTTTTGCATATAGAAAGATTCTAGTTGTCTAAAATCAGTGCCGAAGCCTTTCTGCTTCATGAATTTCTGGATATTTGGATTGCTCTCCCTTAACACACACACACACACAAAAAAACACGATTAAAATTTCATTAGTGTGATATGCCCAATCTATGTAAAGCAGCGTCATCTTACCATCATTTTACCGACTTTAACTATTAAAGTTGTAAAGTAAAAACTTAGTTATGAGTTATATTTGTTTTCCACAACAAGTACTTTTTTCCAGAAGCGGATTTCTTGTAAAAATGGCTTTCCCTACCTCTTGCCTCTCTCCTCCATTTATGGCTATTTGCAAAGAGGATTTTTTATTTGAAAAATACACACACTCTTACTCATAACTTTCACTAAATCTGTATTCATTCAATAGTCTTTGTTTTTAAATCTCCATTCTCTTCTGCATTTTGATTCTCCTTTTTAAAAGCTTTTACTTTCTCGTATTACCCCAAAATTACCATCTCAGGATTTGTGTTGCCAAATGAAAACCATGCAAGCAGAGATGATACCCAAATCTTCCCTTTCCTTGTGGAGACCTTTAAATCTACTTCAAATGCAATGGTTAAAGAAAACAAGGGTTTTAAAGAATTGTCATACCAGCACTCAAATTCCACTTCATCTCCTCCCAAATGAATGAACTGGTCTGGAAACACCCAACTGATTTCTTTGAAGAGTTTACACAGGAAACTATAAGTTGTGTTCAAAGTAGGGTTTATAGGTCCAGAAATTTCAGGTTGATGGCCACCGTAACATGGAGTCAGGAGATTTTCCTGACCTGGAGAAAAACAAGAAGATTCTCTTCTTAAAAAGTAATTTGATTACAAAGATATGGCTCAGCACATAACTATAAGACTATTTTGTTGGAGAATTGTTTCCGGAATCCCATCCCAGTACCTCTTTGTTTCCTTTTTCTTCAGCCTCTATGAGATTTTATCCACTTCAAATATTATCTTGACTACTAATGATTTCCAAATCTTCAGCTTGCCCCAACTTTTTCTTGAGCTTCAATCCATATTTCAGATTCCTTGCTCAACACCATTAAACATACTATCTGCACTTCAAATACAACCCAGTAAAACTAAATGTTCTGTCCCCTAAGCTCCTTCGGTAGCTTCTCTTGATTTTTGTATTCTGGTAAGGGCACCACCATCCTCCCCATCTATAACTCTTCCCCTTTCTCCTGAAGTCAGGAAGTTGCCAAATGCTATGGATTATATTTCCAAAATGTCTCTGAGTTCTGTACATTACTTTCCATTAGGACTTCAGTCGCTTTCCCTCAGGCTTTTCTGAGGTGTAACTCCCTCGTGTCACCCTTCTGCTCTGTAGCTTTCGCTGGTTTCTCGGTATCTCGATGGAGACCGCATCCCTCAGGCGGGACCTCTGCCTGCACTTTTCCAGATTTATTTCCCACTATTTCCCACGTCCACCCTGGCACTTACTGAACAATTACGTTAGGTGCTGTGCCGTGTGCTTTACATTCATTATTTAATCCCGAAAAAGTGACATGGTAACTACTGCTAACATTCCCATTCTAGAGATGGGGAAACTGAGGATGAGATGTTCTGTGATTTGTCCAAGGTCAGGCAGTCTGGCTCCAGCGCCAGTTCTTAACCACCCTGTAATAAAATTCCTTCTTCTCTGCTGTAATGTACTCCATCTAAGTGCCTTTTCTCATGTTATTCCCTCCACTAGAAAAACAAATATATTCTTTAATCTCTCAAAAGCATTATAAGTGTTAGCTCATCCATAAAACCATTTCTGGTTTTTTTGTTTTTGTTTTTTATATCAATGATGAGAGAATCACAGACTGGCTGCCACCTGCCCACCCCTACTGGGGATTGAGCCTGCAATCTAGGCATGTGCCCTTGACTAGAATCAAACCCAGGACCTTTCCGTCTTTAGGCCGGCACTCTATCCATTGAGCCAAACTGACTAGGGCAGTGGTCGGCAAACTCATTAGTCAACAGAGCCAAATACCAACAGTACAATGATTGACATTTTTTTTGAGCGCCAAAGTTTTTAAACAACTCCTAATGCCACTTCTTCACAATAGACTTGCCCAGGTCATGGTATTTTGTGGAAGAGCCACACTCAAGGGGCCAAAGAGCTGCAGTTTGCTGACCACGAAACTAGGGCAATAAACCATTTTTTGAATTCACTTATTATACTATGTTCTACTTGTCATAGTCACTTTGTATGTTTTCCTTAGCCTATTTTTATACTTTAGGCAGTGCCTACACACAGCGACTTGTTCAAAACAGACACATAATAGTTAATTGAATTATATCTGTCAATAGTGCTGCCTTTTGTGTAAATAACAAAATGAGCCAACACCAAGTCATAAAATAGGAGATACAGGACCTCAAATGTTCACTTTTGCAACTCATAAAACACTTACCTTTTCCCCAAGACTGTGTATGTCCGGGGCTATCAAATTCTGGTATGATTCGAATCCCCCGTAATCGGGCATATTCAATCACCGAACGGACTTCATTTGGTGTATAAACATGAGACTTAGAATAGCTTCCCTGTAAAACCCATATTGATTAAAATTTAAATATATGAATGCATTTGGTCCTAAAAACTTAACAGTCCTAATTGCAATTTGATATCTCATAGCTAAATTTTTTCTGTATCACAATGTATTAAACAGTTCCATGTAATGTTGCATGACTCATTTAAATTACTTACCATATCTTATCTCCATAAGTTCTCAGCACACTTTACATTAATTCCACATTTACTGATAGGTCTATCTAAAACAACCCCTTATTCTTCTGTGTCAACCTCATGTAACCATACAAGACAGAAATAAAATGTTTGACTCCAAAGTGAAAAGTCTGAAAATGAAATACATTGCCCTTGGCAACATAGAATAAAAATTTGGAAGTTACTACAAAGCATAACTATTGTCTTTTAAAGTCACTTTAATTACTATCAGCTTTAAAAATTCCCCCAGAAACACTGATAAGTGACCAGCTATTTCTTTAAGGTTACCCTCAGTTTTTTTATAGGTCACTTGGAAAAATTAGAACTCAATACTGGTTGTAACTAAAGATAAAGGTCCATTAAAGCTATTACTGTAGCACATTTCTCAAAGTATAAATATCCTCCTATATAATAAAAGCCTAATATGCTAAGTGTCTAGTTGTCTGGTCATCTGTTCAACCAAAGTGTAATATGCTAATGATATACTAAGACCACTCAACCACAAGCAGACGCTCCATCCGGTAGGTTATCTTGCTGCTGGGTTCTGGCCAATCAGAACTGAGCGAGACAGGCCGGACACACCCTGGATCCCTCCTACAGTCCCTCCCTAGCCGCAAACGTGCACTGGAAGAGTCCTTGGCCTGGGCTGCGCCCTCTTGCAATCTGGAATCCCCTGAGGGATGTTGGAGAGCCAGTTTTGGCCTGATCCCACAAGCCAGGCTGAGGGGCCCCACTGCACTGGGCCTCTAGTAATATATAAATGCTTATATAACACATAAATATAAAGGCTTAACTCCTAAAATTAGCCTTGCTCCATCCCCCAAATAAGATTTGTGTCAAATCAAGATTACATCTAATATCCAGTCCACCAGTTTATAGTAAATACAGACAAATGTGTTAATTGACACTTTGGGAATGCAATTAGTAAAACCCAGACTATGGGAAACTATTTGGACAAATTACTTAATTTCTTCATAAAAAAATAACAAATTTTAAGGAAAAAAAGCCCAACTGGAGTGGCTCAGGGTTGAGTGTTAACCTATGAACAGGGGGTAATGATTCATTCCTGGTCAGGGCACATGCCTGGGTTGTGGACTTGGTCCCTGGTAGGGGCGTTTAGGAGGAAGCTGATTAGTGATTCTCACCATTGATGTTTCTCTCTCCCCCTTTCCCTTCCTCTCTAAACTCAATAAACGTATTTTTAAAATAAATAAAATGCTGAGTCACAAAGCCTATTTGAAAACATTTAAAACCACAAATATCTAACTTGTACACTTTAATTCTATCCATAAGAAACATCAAAGCTACAAATTTCTAATGAAGCTACCAAAACTTTTTGTAAACAGACTACAACATAAATTACTCACTTTGTTGCTTAACTCTGGAAAAGTGGTGCTTTGATAAGGGAAAGATTGGTCATCAACTATGTGCCAGTGGAGAACATTAAACTTATTAAAAGCCATGGCATCCTGCAAAAAAAAAAAAAGTTAAAAAATGATATATCACAGGTATAACACACGATCCAATTTACATATCACCACTCGACTGTTTCCAAGGTGTCTGATTCCTTTTAAAATTTTCAGCAAAGAAAGACTGTGGGAGCAGTACAAATCCTATGTCTTATGTACTTTACATGGCATGCCATATTTCAAAAAGAAAAGCCTATATGGAATCTATATTCATTCTAAATAGTGAGCTGTAAGTTTACTTTATGAGAAGGGAGCAAGGTTGTAAATTCCCAATAAGTATTTAGGGACCAGCCAAGAATGGAAAATAGTTCTTGACTGCTCCTACTACTATGTTTGAGAATGGAGCAGAAGAAAAGGGAGGCATTCAATTCAAGTTCCAGAGCTTGCAATTCCCACTGTTCTAAAGATTTGAATGCTAACCCATTCCTTAGAAATAAAAGAAATATGGTACAAATGCAATACAATTCTAATCAAAATCTCAGAAGTTTTTTGGGAAATTGACATGTTTACTCTGGAGGAATTAACAATGTAATCCTATATAATAAAAGGCCAGAGACCATAAGTATCACGACCACCAGAACAACCGTTTGACCAGTCGCCATGAGGTGCAGACGGGACTTGCTAGCATTGGCAGGAACGAGCACGGAGTGTCGTGCGGCAGCAGTGTAGGAGCCTCGCAGGAGCATCACAGGAAGGGGGTGGCAGAGGCGGAGGGAACATTGCAGGGGGACGCACATGACCCTGATTGCAGCTAGGCCTAGGGACCATCACCATACACAGTTTCTTGCGCTGGGCCTCTAGTGTTTATATATTATTTTAAAAAGGTAATAAGTAATAAATGGACATATGTGCCCTGCCAGATAATCAAATCTAAAGCCTGCATTCTCCATCAGGGCAGAAGGGATTTGCTAGTGCATTTGGGAAATAGCTTACATACAAGGGAATTATACACAGGAATATGTTGAGGATAATGGCAGTGAAGGAAGTTGCATCTCCTGGTCTTGCTTAAA